CTAAACCCTAAACCCTAACTATAAAACCCCTGAACACCTAAACCCCTAAACTGCACCCCTACCTTACGTCAGGCACTTTCGGCTGGGATCTGCTGCATGAGCATCCGGCCTCTGGGTTGCTACCAGGGACCTTTTTCGGGGGCAGTGGGGATTACGGGGAGCTTCGGGTTTTTTATGGGGGAGAGACATGTTGAAATGTTAAATTCTCATCTTTCGGGATTCGGATTAGCAGCCCCTTAATGAGGCCAAAAGCCTTTTGAACTCCAAACCTTGAGCCCCAAGCCTTCCCACGCGCAGAGGCCGGAAGTTGTGCAGATGGCAGAAGCGATGGGGGGTCAACACGACTGCGACACTTGACTGCCGAGCAGAAGACTGGTGTTTTAGCATATTAATATTCCGGTTTAGGGTTTAGGGTTTAGGGTTTCGGCTTCAGGGTTTGGGAATTGAGAGATTATGGTCTCGAAGCTCCAAGCACGGCACCCTGCGCCTTGAGTACCTAAACTGGGGACCGATATTGTCCATAGGACTTTAATTAGATCTTATAAGGGTCTTCCCCGATGCTGAAGGCACCCTAAACATTCGCAGAATTTGACTCTAAACCTACTGGCGAAGCCCCTTGAGCTTCCGAAGAGGAGGGCTCTCTAATGGGGTAGTTACCGCAGAACCCTCAGGCTAGTCATAAACCCCCAACCCCACAAATCCCCCAAAACCCGCAAAGAAGCTCCTTATCCCAAATCCGAAAGGCTTCGGCATGGAAGAAGTTGCCCTACTCCAGAGGCCTGTTCAAGATGAGGCGGCGGCGAGTCGAGTTTACCTGGACCCTAAACCCTAAACCCTAAACCCTAAACCTTAAACCCTAAACCCTAAACCCTAAACCCTGCCTTCGTGAGGATTCAGAGAAGGAAATTAGATAAAGGAACCCCAGAAGTGTAGGTTATTTTGGGGTTCAGGCAGGGTCTAGGGAAACAACGGTGGACGGCTGAAGGTTGGCGGTTTGGTAGAGGTTTATTAGGGTTCTTAACACGGTTTTGTTTTAAATTTCAACCAGTTTTAGCATAGAGAACTTGGGGCTGTCGGAACAAGTAGTGCAATCGAAGCTACAGTAAAAGATACCTGCTTAAACTTCTGGGTTGGAGATTTAGCATTTCCTTGGGACCTGACTGAGCATCGCTGTTATTTTGCAGCTGATATGTTTGTAGAATCATGCCCTTGAAAGAACAACAAAACAGCCAAACAAAACCCAATAACCTAAATCCGAGCTTTGTAATTTGTGATTTGGCTTCGCAGCCCGGATACCCAAAACCCTAAACCCTCAACCCTGATCCCTAAACCCTAAACCTAAAACCCTAACCCCTAAACCCAAAGGCCTCAACCCTCAACCCTAAACCCAAAACCCTAAGCCCTAACCCCTCAACCCTAATCCCTCAACCCAAAGCCCTGAACCCGTTCGGAGTCCCATCTTGCTCTGTGAGGCTCGGATCTCCGACGGTCCAAGGCTTCAGAACCCAGCGCCCGAGCTTCGTCCTGTTTTGAAGTAAGAGGGTTCATACCTTAAGAGCCCAAAACCTACTTTTTTTGTAGGGCCCCTATAAATCCCATATTAGGGTTTATAATAAGAACCTACAAAAAAGTGGGTTTTGGGTCTTATATGTGTCGCATATATATGGTTCATATAGGGTTTTATTAGAGGGTTTATATACGGCTCAGGGTGTGGGATTTAGGATTTAGGGTTCGGATGGGGTTTCGGATGGGGCTTAGGGTTTAGAGTCGGGGGTTTGGGCTGTAAGGTTTCGGGGTGCAGCGGTTTAGGGGTTAGGTCTGTTTTGGGTTGTAGGGCTTCAGGGGTTGAGGGATCTATAGGTCCCAGGGTTTCCGTTATCCTGCTCTCAAGTGCCAGTGTTTCTGGCCGTGGCTACATCTACCCCAATGAAGGGTCCAAGTAATCGAGAAGTAAACATTATGCTAGTATACGTTGAGGCCCCTGTTGTGTTGTAGTAGGTGTTTCGGTTGATGGCGTTGGTCAGTGGCTTTGTTTTTTGAACCCCTTAGGATGGGGTTTAGGATTTGGTTTCCTCGAGCCCCAACCAACTACATTGTACCAACTGCTCGGCCCTAAACCCTAAACCCTAAACCCTAAACCCTAAACCCTAAACCCTAAACCCAAAAGACCTAGTTTTTTAGGTCGGCAAGGCCTCTTTGGAAGGCGCGTTGGGGGATCCGGGTTGGTACTGTCAAGGTTTATAAGAAACCCTAAACCCTAAACCCTAAACCCTAAGCCCTAAACCCTAAACCCTAAACCCTAAACCCTAAACCCTATTCTAAGGATCGCAGATCGAGGGTTTGCTTTTTGGCTGCGTGGTTGCTGGAAGGATGCTTCTTTTAAGGGGGTTTCCTGCCCAAGGTTGTGGAAGACAAGGGACGGCGGCTCATCTGTTCCTGCAGCTGCGCCAGAGATCACGTTCCTGGGACATTCGGTGGTATGGCCTTTTGTCTCTCTGATTCTTCAGTTTGCACATACTATAGGATATAGTTACCCTAAACCCTGAACCCTAAACCCTAAACCCTAACCTTAAACAAGATGTCCTGTCTTTGGGGGGGGCACTGAAGAACCGAGGTCTTCTACAACTCCTCCAACACCCGGCGCGTGGGCAAATATCAACTGGCACTGACGCCCGGCCGTGATTGGAAGCAGTTTGCTTTGCATTGCTTCTTCGTAGAAGAAAGAGCCACTACCCTAAACCCTAAACCCTAAACATCATCTTCTTTACGTGTGGCCATCTCAGGATGGACCAGAATGATGCATACCGCGTTGGGGATTTGCTGTGGCACAGAGGTGGGAAGTTGCCAAAGCCTCCGCCCAAGGGGCGTCATGGACAAATGCCTCTGCCAGGGCTTGCAGCCCTAAGCCCTCAGCCCTGAACCCCAAGACAAACACCCTAAGCTCCTGATCGCCGGGTTTATACTCATATTGTAGGTCTTCTTTAAAACCCTAAGCCCTAAACCCTAAACCCCAAGCCCTAAACCCTAAACCCGCTATAAATCCTAAACCCTAACCCCTCAACCCGGGTGATTTCTGAAGGCTCTCCGAAGCACGCACGCTGGAGAGCAGACTCGCCTCTTGGCGGCCGGTTGAGTGTAGGGATTAGGGTTTAGGGTTTAGGGTTTGGGGTTTGGGGTTTAGGGTTTAGGGTTTAGGGTTGTAGTTCTTAAGTAGCTATACTATCTTATACGAGAATCTATCCCAAAAATTGTGTTGTCATTGTTGACTTGAGGGTTTGGGGCAGAATTCGTTAACTGTTCATCCCCATATGTGCTTAGAGTTTGTCACCCCAACTCCGAAACACTCATGGCAGCTATTCACTGCCGCACTTACAAGCAGAATATAGGGTCTTCTTTTACAATTAGAATATGGTTTGGGATACATTATACTATAATTAGAATAAGGACCCCCCCAACAAAAAAATAATAAACCCTAAACCCTAAACCCTAAACCGAAAAGAAAAAAACAAGAATCTAATAAACACTAGATTAGTTACTCAGCTGATATGGTTTCCCCCGAACCTGCGAGTTGGCTCCGACGTGGGAGTTTTCCGAAAATCAGGGGTACCTTATTAGTTGGGGTCCTTATAATCAGGATCCTACCTGTAGGCTCCATTGTAGTTCCTTTTTGGGGTTACCTTATAGAAATCCTTAATATAGAGTTGGTTAAGCCAAAAAAAGGAACTACAATGGAGACTATAGGTACTATTTAGGATAGTATATTAGGGTCCCCTATTTTCGGAAACCTCCACATTCCCACAAACCATGCGCAAAGGATAGCCATACTCTGCAACTCGGCGTTCCGGGGCACCTTGATGCGCGACATGCTGCGAAGCCCCTTGGTTGTTCAGCGCATGGATATCTACTTAGACATGGTTTCTGATTTTGGAACGTTGCACTTCCTCAAAAACTGGCAATTGACTTGGAGAGGGTTGCGTAAACAGCAAGGACCCTAGATCCATAAGAGTCTCTACAATATACCCCACCTGACTCTTATATACCTCACAACCCTAAACCCTAAACCCTAAACCCTAAACCCTAAACCCTAAACCCTAAACCCTCACAACTCAAAAAGCACGAAATGCCGGAAGTCCGAAGCCGTGTCAGGTGCTGTCCTCGTCGATAACCACGCCATTGCACCAAGTCTGAGCGATCCGGACAGCCGGTCTCAGCACAGGGGGTCAGGATTCTTCGATCTTGGTACTACTGGTAAGGATAGCAGTTTGGGTCATGTTAGCTCAAACTAATCACAAACGTAGCTCGCATGAGTTGCAGCAACTTCTTTTTCAATAATCTGCGGTAGCGGTCAAAGTGGTGACGAGGTACTGGCACCTGTAGATTAAAATGGGTGTACGAGCGGGGCTTGCGGCTTGGTTTTGAATTTGCTACAAAGATGTTGGATTTGTGTCTCGCCCGTACCTTTAGCTACCAAACACCTTATCGTACCAAGACCTAAACCGGTAAACCATATTTAGCTAGTTCCCTCAAACCCTAAACCCCTAAGCCCGCATATAGCTAGCTCCCTAACACCCTATAGACCCTAAACCCATAGAGCCAGTTCCCTAAAACTCTATAAGCCCTGAACCCATATAGCCAGTTCCCTCTCCAACAACTGGGTAGTTCTCTAAACTCGGGTCCCTTTTCAGGTCCCCAATATAGTACGGCACCCTTATGAAAAGGACCCTAAAAGGGACCCTAATTTAGGCAACTACGCACATGGCAGGATCTGGAGCAACTGCTGAGTATGCGAGGCGAGGGGCGTGTGGGCTACGCCTACGCATCGGGCGAGACGGGTCCCAACAACCTGACCTTGCCAAGTGACCTGACCTCTATAATTAGGGTTTAGGGTTTAGGGTTTAGGGTTTAGGAAAGTTTTAGGTTTAGGGAGGGTTCTTCAAAAGTTTCCATAGGGAATCGGTTGGGGTTTCAGGGTTAGGGCTCTTCAGGGTTTTGGGGTTGTAGGAGTTTGGGGTAGCCTGACCACAGCTGGCCTTGCCAAGTCCGCGTCACCTTCGGCCAGAATCGGGATTTCAGAGTTCAAAGACTCTTCTTGTAAGACCTTGCTAGCTTTTGATGTGCCTGTTTGCTTTTGCTCAATGCGATCTCCGTTGTCGATGTGTTCACGAGAAGAGTGACTTGTCTCAGAAGAGGGAGGAAGGCTGAAGTGGTGGACAGATTACCTTCAGTGGCCGAACAGAAAGTTTCTGGCCACACGGCCGACATCAATTCCAAACCCTAAAAAAGGCCATTGCACTCTAAAAACCAAACCGTAACGCACCCTGAACCCTTGCAGAACAACAGTCGAACAAAGTACATCGACCCTCAGAGCCCGAAACTCGACGCCGTTTCAGGCACAGCCGAAGCTTGGGCTGGGCTGAGGCATGTCGTCGGCCTTCGATGCTCGGCTCGGAGGCATTTCATTTCGAGGGCCTTTTCTAGCATACTAGATTTGTGTTCAATAAGGGTGGACTTGCTTACAAGGGCTTTTTGAGGGCTTGTCAAACAGGGTGTCGGGTTTTAGGGTTTTGGTACAGGTGGAGCCAGCTTTCGGGCTTTGGTTGGGGTCGGCCTCCGAGGTTTTTGGGCCTTTTGCTCAACCCTAAACCCTAAACCCTCTTTGGCTCTGCTAAGACGAGGAGACTTTTCAAGGCTTTGGGGCCTAAAGGGCCTAATACGTATAATTATAATCAGAGCCACGGTTTCGGGTTTAGGGTTTAGGGTTTAGGGTTTAGGGTTTTATATAGTCCCTAAATAGCTATCATGTAGCATGCCTCCAAAATTCAGCCTACTATAGTAATAGTGCTATCCCCTTATCGTCCCTAAATCGTGATGCTCTTTTAAACCTCCACCTGTTCCAAGTAAGAATGCCCCCATATGAATCCTCTAAGGACTTTAGGAGGGACCCCTAATAGGGACCCTAAATCCCATTACCTCAAATAACCGTTGTATAGTCCTTATATACCCCTTACATAACCAGGTAGTCTCCATATTAACCCCAATAACCTACAAGGGTCCCTATTAAGGGTCCCTCCTAAAGCCCTTAGATTGAAAGTGACTAGTCCTGGGGCCCGGTTCGAATTAGTCTCCATTGTATTCCCTTCTTTGGGGTTGCGGTTTAGGCTCCCAGCTTAAAGTTTAGGGTTTAGGGTTTAGGGTTTAGGATCCCAGTTTAGGGCTTAGGGTTTAGGGTATACACTTGTTTAAAGCGACAAGAGGAACTAGAATGGAGACTTTAGGACCCTAAACCCTAAACCCCTATAGTAGCCCTTATAGAATCCTTTAAGGAACCCTTTCCAAACAGCCCCCACACCCCTATTCTAGCTATGAAGGGCCCGGGTATCTCCTTGGGGAGGGAGCGCCCTCGGGGTTCTCCTTGGGCCTCCACGGAACCATTCGGCCGAACCAGAAAACCCCAAATCTCTTCATAAGAAGAAATAATATGTGGGTTTCTGACAATAGGGGACCCTGATATATAGTACCCTAAATAATAGGATCCTTAAATATAAGGACCCCCAAAATAAGGTACCCCTGATTTTCGGAAACTCCCATATGACTTTAACCACCCTAAACCCCAAACCCTAAACCCTAAACCCTAAACCTGCTGCAGAGGCTACACGGCACTAGGGCCTAGCTCGGACGATGTTCTGCTGGTGCCACTGCGCTTGGGCGATGAGCCGCGCTGGCGGCTGCAGGACGTCGAAGAGTCGCTGACGCTTGGCCGCGGAGGTTAGGGTTTAGGGTTTAGGGTTCAGGGTTCAGGGCTTAGGGTTTAGGGTTTAGGGTTTAGGGTCGCGGAGGTTTGGGTGTAAAGTCCCGCCCCAGACCCCCGTCATCAAGTTTTTCATAG